GAATGTAAACGAAACGTCTTCTGACGAAATTCTGCAAGTAGGCGTGGCTTTTGGAGTGTATTTGTTTGTGTAAGTCGTCCTAAATGTTTGCTTTAAGTTTGTGCGTAAAGCTAAACGATTTTTTGAATAGAAATTCTAGCGAAAAGGCTAAAATCTACTATCACTGAAGATTATGCTTTATTTAACAAAATTATCATCAAAAGTATTTTAAAAAGCACGACTTCCATTTTTTTCTCATTTTTTCCAAAATTCTTCTTATTCGTTTGGGTTAAGGAACAATATTTTTTTACGTTTGGGCTAACTTACCCGTATGGGCAGGCTAAGCATCTTCTTGAAACGTGTTATCTTTTCTATACTATTAATTGGCAGCCTACGTAGCTCTCTAAAGCCAGCATAAGAAAAAGTGCTTAAAGGGATTTTTTACACCGTCTGTCCTTAAAGGGATAAAGATCGTTTGATTTGCTTCAGGCGCCTTATATTTATACTCTACAATCTCTGAGAGCTGTATAGGCTTATGTAACCCAGTAGTTTTGATAAAATGGAGGTTTTTGACGAGATATGAAGCTCTATGTGAAGCTACGTACTCCCACAAGTATAATTTTTATCAAAATTTGACAAATTCTGATTTTGAGCTTTTTAAGTTCGTTACCCTTTATCCTGCGACAAATTTAACCCAAATACAATTTCAAAATCTCATTTCCATAGATGAACTACGTGGTACGACGACACGGTGCTGATTTCGCAAACGGTACGCACATCGTACGTAAGGACGCCGTGGTTGGTCAAGGTGGTACCAGGATGTTGTGGTGGCGCGGCGGCATCGCGGGGTATGTATGTGTGGATGATGCAGGTGTGCCGGGTTCGGTCCTCGATTAGGGCGGGGCGGGGGGAAAGAAGGGGGAGTGCAGAGCATTGCAAAAGGTTGTTGCAGAGACTGACCTCAGCCGTTTGACCTTAGGTAGCCGTGCGCGATGGTGGTGATGGCAGGGACAGTGAGTGCGTAGGCCTCGTAAGGGGATGAGGTCAGCTCTGTGTAGAAGTCCACTTGGTGTTTGATAGTTCTTTCTTTTCCTTTCATGGTGGTGAAGAGTTGACCGGAGATTTAAGCAGCATTCACGGTTTTGGACAACTATTCCTCGGCATTCATTGTATTCCCTTCTACGTGAAATTCTCTAGCAATTTCTTCTTTTTT